AGAATCCGGGGCAGGGGTTCGTTGCTTCAGGAGTTGACCCTGTTATCGACCCAAAGTGGACCGTTTCTACGGAGGGGTACTTTGCCGATTCGATGGAGACGACCCGATTCCTAAGATCCGAGCTTCGTGCTTGGGCGAGGAGGAGGAGTACCGCAGACCACTTCCTAGAGGGTAAGACATGCAAGACATGCAACACTTCAAGTAATCCACCCGATCAAGAATCATTCGCAAAGCAGCCAGTCATCCAAGAAGACTGAGATGTGTGGAGAAGGGTCTGTGCATGTCTAATTTTAGGTCGGTGGTAAGGTGGAATGAGTAACTTTGGCGGCGCATCTCATCAAGTCAAAACTGAGGCAGTCCGACTACCTTCTCGGTTGCATCGATGTTATTGTCGGTAGCCAACTCCTCGTTGGCGGCTATATGATTTTTTTGTGGAGTTCGACTAGGGTGGTCGGGTTTTATTTCAGTATATGTTATTGGATGTATCTAATGATGGTTTGGATTCTTTTACTTATTATTTTAGATTGGATATACATTCTTATCGACTACGATCGATCCCTCGGGATGAAATTATATAACTTTCCTTTTTGACTGATGTCTAAAGGGACTAGGATACCTGCAAGGAGGGCCATAACTAGGGATGCGAGCCCTAACCGAGACCTTCGGGAGTAAGGCATTCTTGCCTTCCTCCCAACAATTCTCACAATCAAATATATATATATATATCGTCAAATATAACTCTCTCTCTCTCTCTCTATATATATATTTTCTTAGACTCTTCTTGCAGTTTAGTACAAGAAGGCTAGGTCTCCATCTTGGCCCACCATAGTCTGGTTGATCGAGCCAGATTTATGGCCCAATGCGTTGTTATTTTAGCGGCAGTGCCCTCACAGGTTAGACTTTCTCCTGATAAGCATTCAATCATGACTCCAAAAGACTCAAAAGACTAAACTCTTATCCCTCCGCCATCCCGCGGGAAGTAAAACCCTCCTAGGTGGCCACACCCTTTAAGTCTTTACTCCTTTGGTGAGACGTGGGCCCGCTGTTCGGGTTATGCCGAGCAACAACCAACACTAGGGGTTGCGCCCTAGTGATGCTAAACTTTACCGTTAGCTTGGTCTTTCCTGCAAATGCCCTAAGATTAACACAAGTGGCCAGATGGCGTGTCTCAACAATACAGGCCTATTGGGGGACTACGCAGAGGTCTGTCACACATAAAAGGCATTTACCAGCCCTCTGTGGGACAACATAGAGAGTACGACATCCTCTCCACTTTCACAAAACAGAATCACCGCCAGATTCAAGGTCGTGACCTCCCAACTTGGTCAGAGCAAGAATGTCCCACATCTAAATAACATCTACCAAATAAAACACTCTTGCGACCTCCAAAATTTCACCAATGGCCAAACAAAAACTTGGTCCTTGTCAGACTTCGTGTTTCAAATCAGCTTTCCGTACCATTAAATCTTTTAACCGCCTTCCATTTGCAAAAGTCTCACTCATTAGGTCTTACAGTCATCCCTCTCGCTCTAGGATGAACTTTAACATGACCTTTTTAAAACATCTTCCACTGAAGATGGGTCTCAAAAACAAAAGACCACCTTCCCACTAGAAGTGTCTCAACCATAAAACAACTCAAACTGAGAGACCAACTTACGGGTCCTCATCACAACTCAACAATAAACATTTGGCATGATAGGCGTTCAGGTCTCAAAGGCTCATAAATCCCTTATGGATTCTCACATCCTTTATAAAAACAGACTGCTCTCCCTCTTCTTATACCCGACCCTATTATCCGCTCATGGGCAGATCGCACGTACCGAAGAGTAGACATTTCCCATCCATTAATATTCACAAAATACTTAATACACGAGATGTTTCTCATACATCTGTAACACAAAACCATCATACATCAGGATAAATTCACACATGTGAGAGTGATTGTGATCGTCATATATAAGTAGTCTCAGGTAAAATCTCAATTCAATATACACTCAGGGGTGTAATATCCCAACTCAAAAGCAAACAATCATGGTTTTGAATTACATATGTACACTTGAGAGTTGAACAATCTCAACTCAAAATGGCACCAGTATCACACAAGAATCGTGACCTTCCTTCTCAGAGATAAGCTAAAACCGCTCTAATTAGGGCGTAATCGCACCTATCAAATCAGAGGAATCCAAGTAATCTAGAACACATCCAAATATCTCACATAACACAAGCCCCAACATGCCTTGAACAATCACAAATTTATAGGGGCCTCGAGTCAGAATGTTCTGCATATTCTGCTCTCATATCTCAGCGCAACGCTGGAAAAGAGAATTTTTCACACCAATCCTCGAGGTCATAGAGTCCAAAGAAGCTTAAACTCAAAACCCACCCAATCAAAAGCAGCTCCTATATACAAACCACCCAATCAAAAGCAGCTCCTATATACAAACGTACGGGCGCGTACACCTTCATAACTCAGGGTGGTATATCTAAAAATGAACTCAACCCTCAAAACACAATCACCTTGTCTTGAGTCGTAGGATGAAGGTATACGCCTAATAAGAACAAGTACCACAATCAAAACCCAATCAGTGTTCCTAATAAGATCACACCCTCACATGATCTCTAAATGCACTCAAAACTATGTTCCAAGCCACATTCTCGACCGTCTCCCTCAGCGAGCCACATACACGCGAGGCCCACTCTCATACTTTGATCGTGCTCTAGCTATTCTACCTTGAGCAATCGCAAGAGCGTGGGAGACACTTATCCAATCTGATCTGAAGCCTCTTATGATCCAACATATACTTCACAATGCACTAAACATATGTATACACGTCTTCCAACCCACTCGGTATACAATTAGGATTCTGCTAACTAAAACATGGAATTGGAATCACACAATAGGCTAGTCTGCTATCCTGACTCCCATGCCCACGTATATACACAGCCCAAGTGATCTAGGGCCAACCTCTTGCTGAAAACCTCCTTACACCGCTATATTCCCTCTAACCCTATCCTTCTACCCTGTAGCAACCGCCACCATCATGCCCCCTTTTTCTTTGCGTTCCACTTATGGTTTCGTTGGCGCCCACCATGCTCTCCAGTACCTTCTCTGCCACCACCACGTCCTCTATTGCCGCGTTCGCCATTCATGCGGGCCCTTCCAACCTCCTCTCTTTGGCCCCCTCTACCGGCCACGCTGCATTGGGACATTTGTTGTGTCTGTGGCTGCAACAGTCTCATAGGCCGAGTTGGTTGAGTTTGGGCTACTGGAGGCCTAGGCGGCATCATGCTCATCTGTGGGCCCAAATAACTGCCTTGTGCCCATGGTGCATATGGGCTATACATCGGCCACAGACTCACTGGATTGCATGGTGTCCACCGCCCATATAATGTCGGCTCAGTCGATGGATGCCCCTTTCGCGTTGCTTTGCCTCCCAATTCTTGAGGAATGGCCGCTACTTGCCGCGAGCATTGCCCCTTCCCGGTACCTTGACCTCCTTGGGCTAGGTTCCTCGCTTTCCGTTGAGCCTTTGTCAACTTGAGAGGCTCATGTTCCTCCTTTACCTCAACCACCTTTTTACCTTCGTCTCTCCCTTGAGCACTAGTCCGCCTTCTCGGGGTTCTCCTGAGGAGGAGTGACTCTCGATCACCACTCCTTGCTCCTCCTTTGTCTTGACCAGCCGGCTCACTCGAGATACCCTCTAAAACCTTCCGTTTGCCCTTCCTGGCCTCTTCTAGTCGCGTCAACCTTTCTTCCAGTATTCCAACTTGCCTCTGTATACCACTCAACTCTCCTGGTGTTGCCGCAACTCCAGCTCGCTGCACAGGATTCCCACGATGTGGATTCTCTATTCCACCTTTTGGAAAGCCTAACCTCAAAGGAGCCTCCATCTCCCCCCAAGTTCTCGACATCAACATGTGAGTATACACTTCCTCAGTCAATTCCTCGCAGACGAATGACGACAACATGCCCCACATCGCCTTTTCGTTCCACATCTTTGCGAGACTGAAGTTATGATAATCGCGCAGGAAGTTAGACAAATTCCTTCTCAATGGTCTGAGGGCATCGAGTCATGTACTGACTCGCGCAGCAGCACTTTGGTGAGGCACGAGCTCCTCCAAAGCAGGATTTTGGCGAAACCACCTTCTTCAGCCATGATGTTGGTATAGGCCTGATATGCATGACAAGCAATTGATCATCAAGTTGTAACGCAAGCACTCTTAAAACAAGCAAGGCTAGTAAAAACTGTTAATACTCAAATCACATTGACTATCTTTTTGTTCACACAACAAGACCTCTTTAGTTGCCCTTGCTCCAACTTTAAGGGTACTATAAACGGTATACTCCCCACATAGGTAGAGCTCTATAAGCCAGTCATAGGCAGACAGTAATCGCTGTTGTAAATGTTGTTGACCCTCACCCTTGTTCTGCATAGTAAGATGGTTGTAGACAAGTCTGCGAGAGACGCGCTTGACAGAGTATGAGGGCACCCTCTATCGGCTCACTACTGCCCGAACCTCGTCCCAATCTACAACCCTTTCATCTGGATCATGGGAGCTCGCGTAAGCGTTAACAACACCATGTTCCTGAGTCCTTGACTATGGGGTAAAAACCTTTGGTCCAGGTACAGACCATATATCAACTCACATGTATACCGCGCATATCCCCATTCCCGTGTCTTCAAAGCGGCTTCCGCTCTGGCCTCTATCCTCTCTTATCCCCCGAAACACTTCTTTACGAGAAATCTGGGCAGGATGACTCGTAGCAGGGCTGAAGGTAGCACAAACTATTCGGCACGCTTGACCTCTATACGGGTCTCCACCTGTTCCTCTCCTTCATAAACCCTGCCCCTCGCCCATTTTGCAGCAGCTCCCTAAGTTATCCTTAATGGTCTCGCGAGTAGGCTCCCATGCCCAAGAGCCAACTCAATCCCATGCAAGACCCAAAATGATGGTGGGGCGTATAGGGTTACCCTCACGATCACACAACCTTGATCATCATCAAAACCGGACTCGTTCCAAGCGAAGATACCCTTGTCTACCAACGTGGCCCACCAAGAGAGATATACTCTCCTTGACTCTTCTCGGCAAGGATACCTCGAGTCCATCTTCCTTTTTAACGGGCACGACCATGTTAGGATCTTCTTTTACATAAGGCATTCTGAGTTGCCTTTGCTCTGTCAGATTTCTGCCCATCACAGAAAATGCAGCATATGCCTTTCGTTACTATGTTGACAATCACGTTCTATAATCTCTACTCCTGAAGCCTTACCTTGAAGTCATCTTTCACTAAAATTCAATATTTCCAGTATTTACGACCACCCAGCTTAGAGGGAATAACCTCGGTAATATATCATGGTATTAATACGTCCACAAATATCAAACTCACAATAATAATTACTAATGGAAAACGATATATTACCTTAGTAACTGACATCAATACTACTCGTAAATATCATATACATTATACACAAGCTAATCAGTTACCCAGAAACACATATAAATACCTCATAATGACAAGTTTATATCAACAAGTATATCATATAATAGAATAATAAAAAAAATGAGGTCGCCAACAATTAGCACTCTCAGCCAGAATACTAGCGCGAGTACCACACTTTACTCCCCTGCTTTGACAGAAGTATACCATGGCGACGACCACTGTAATCCTTCTGAGGATGGATAGCATCTCAACTCCCTGAGCCCCGCTAAAAGATCAAGCCTCACTGCTTCTCCCTCCGATTCTAGCACTTGCTCCTTGCAGACCCTTGCCGACAAAGAAGACAACCTCACCATACACTCTTCGGGGTGTACTGTCCTGTCCTGTGCTGGTGTTGCATACTGTAACGTGCAGACCAGAACAAGAACTGACCTCTCAATGCAAAGTACAAGATAACACAGCGGAAGACTTAGATACCAGTGATCCGAACAATCAATATTGCAATGCAGCCCTGAACATACATCATCATCATCGTTACATGGTGTGAATGGGGTCTGGCGCTTCACACAAGAAGACTGCGCCAGCCCCTACCATACACGGACGAAGAAGAAAGGGGTTAGATGAAGAGGAGGGGGAAGATGGGAATGTCGTCAACACCAAGTCTTCGGCACAGGCCCAAATAGTCCCTCGTCGAAATGTTTGAATCCCAAATGTCAAGTCTGGATCCAATGTCGTCAAGTCTCAAGTCACAACTCTGTCTCTCTCTGTCGTAGTCTGAGAAGTCAGGTGGTGAGGGGGTGAGAAGAGATGGTGGACTTAGAAGAGGAAGAAGAAGAACTCTATTTTTGTGTCCAGTATTAACCTGTGAAGTTGGTGCCTTGATGCAGGTACCTCGCAGATGGAGCTGGAGCGATGGCGCCACAGGTAAGTACCACTGGCCTCCGCCAGTGTCTCTCCCAACTCTACTATCTACCACCTACCATAGCGCCCAGCGCTGAAGACTACCACTATGGCTATGGGCGCCCAACGCCGAAGACTACTACTAGCGCTAACTACTGGCTAGCGCTGAAGACTACTGCAGCGTTCCTCCTGAGTGTTGCGGCCGAATCCTGAAGACTAACCGTGCATATTGACCACTACCTACCCGTGAAGTGCATGGGAACCTCCTATGTACTACCAGGTGTGCCTCCTGAGTCGGGCGAGCAGTCCAGGAGGCTGCAGCCGCAGCTCCTGCTCGAGCTGGCGTGGGGAACAGGCTATTTCTGGCCTGTTCCCGAAACCCTGCTTCTGTGCCTGAGTCTTAGGTAGGTCGAACACAATGAGGGCCTGAAAATGACCCTCCGTTTCAGGCTGGAAAGCCTCTGGGCCTGAAAGGCCCAGAAATAGGCTGAAAACGGAGTAGGGCCTGCAAGCCCTCGTTTTTCAGCTTTCAAGCTGAAACGACCGGGGCCTGTAAGCCCTAAGTTTTAGGCTTTTAGGCTGAAAGTGCGGGACGGGCCCTGCAGGGCCCGTGTGGCTACGCAGTATGCCACCCCCCCCCCCTCCTTGAAGAACCGAGCTAACCTGCGAGGGCGAAGCTGTCTGTCTGAGGGAGGGACCACAGTCCGGGTGGGAGGGGCTGGTCGTGAAGCTTCCTGAGCTAACCTCCACTTTTCATAATGCGCGTAGATCAGCGGTGCGGATGMTTTCAAATCTGCGCCTGAAATCCACCGAGTGTCGTCGCGATCGCATGCTTTGAATGTGACTTTGTACTGCCGCGGCTTGCTGCCGTACTTGCGATCGGTGATGACGCGGTCAACTTCCCGATGACCATCCATAGAAGGAGGGTCCTGCGATCGTCGGCCCGGAAAGTCGTCGCTCTTGGCTGGCGTGTATGTTGCCAACTTCGAGGCGTGGAAGACCGAACGGACCGTCAGATGCTCTGGAATGTTGATCACAAATGAAGGGCCATCGGGCTCATCGCCCGCGGCTGCTGTCACAGACCAAGGTCCAAACCACTTGGGAAGCACTTTGCATGAAACATCCTGTTCCAATGCAAACTCTTCCGCGGAGACCCAAACCAGATCACCGGCACGGATGGGACATGGTACGCGACGCCTGTTGGCTTGCTGCTGCACGCGGACTTGAGCCTTTTGCATATTTGCGTGGGCTTGAGTCAGCAATTCCCTGTACTTCCGGACGGAAGCGGGAGAGCAGGCAGCGTCAATGTCGGCTGGTCGAGGGAGGAGAAGGTCGACGAAGATCCGGCCTTTCCATCCACCGTGGTGCAACTCGAATGGAGTCACGCCGATCGCCGGATGCACCGAAGCGTTGTCGGCGAACTCGATGTCGGGGAGGCGGTCATTCCAATCTTTCTGGTCCGGATGGATGAGCGTACGAAGCATCATTTAAGCGGTTTGATGTGCCCGCTCCGTTTGCCCGTCCGTCTGTGGATGCCGAGCCGAACTTGGTTTCATCTTCATGCCGGACTCCTGCATGAGAGCAGTCCAAAATGCCGACATGAAGCGAGTGTCGCGGTCGCTGACTATGTCTTCTGGTACACCGTGGCCACAAATCCAACCAGTGTGCAGGAGGCGTGCCAGCTCGGGAGCCGTGGAGTAGTACTTGCAAGGGAGAAAACGCGCGTACTTACTCAATTGGTCCACAACCGTGAGGATGTCGTCATGCCCGAGCCGATCGCGAGGAAACGGACCAGTGACGTCCATAGCAATGGAGAGACCGGGTTCCCGTGGAATAGGCATCGGGTGTAACTCCCCATAGGGATTGCGGTTGTGGGGTTTGTTGCATCGGCAAACTTCGCAAGAGTCGCAATACCGAGTGACATCGGTAATGAGGTCGGGCCATCGGAATCCCTGTCGAAGCCATGCAATAGTGCGGTTGACTCCGAAATGGTCGGCGAGTCGCGAATCATGATACTCGCGCTGGAGGCGAGTCCGAAGACGACGGTCGCGTGGGACACACAGTAAATCCTTGCCTCTCGAGTGGAGGAGCAAGGACCCGTCGGCAATGCGGTAATGGCTGGCCGGCGGGTGATCCGAAGATAGTTGTGCATATAGCGTGGCGAAGTCCGGATCAGACTGGTATGCCCGGATGAAGTGTCGTTGAAGCTCCTCGTCGAATGCGAAGGCATGATGTGTCATAGCGCAAAGATCAGGTCTTCGCGAGAGTGCATCTGCTGCGCGATTTGAGAGGCCGGGAAGATGTTTCGGTGTGAAGTCAAACTGGTCGATGAAGTACATCCATCGCCCGATCGTGCTGCTCACCGTATCCTGCGTCTTGTAGTAGGTCAATGGATTGTTGTCTGTAACCCATGTGAACCTACGACGCCCAAGGAGGAAGTGCCGCCATCACTTGAGAGCCATGGCGAACACGAGTAGCTCCTTATTCCTTGCATCATCAAGCGAGTTGATGGGGGCACTTTGTGGCTGAAATACTCCACAGGGTGCCAGTCGTCGCCGTCGTGTTGTTCCAAGACTGCCCCAATGCCGTAGCCGGAAGCATTCGTAGTCACTCTCGTAGGCAGGGTGGGGTCGTAGATGCTAAGGACGGGTGCCATGAGCATAGCCGTCTTAAGTGCTTGGAATGACCGGCGTGCGTCGTCATCGAATACGAATGGCACCTTTGGCGACTGTAACCTCGTCATAGGTGCAGCAATCCTTGAGTATCCGCTGATGAATCGCTGATAGTAGCCCGCCAATCCCATGAATGAACGAACGTTCGTGGTGTTGGTGGGCTCAGGCCATACTCGTAGGGCCTCGATCTTGTCCGCGAGCGGACGGATGCCTTGCGGCGTCACATAATGGCCCAATTACTCCAGCTCCTGCCGCGCGAATTCGCACTTGTCGTGGTTGGCTTTGTACTTGGCTTGTCGTAGCCGCTCCAAAACGGTGCGCAGGTGTTCCACATGCTCCTCCAAACTCCGGTTGTAGACCAGAACGTCATCGAGGTAGATAAGTACGAAACGATCCAGCATGTGTCGGAACTCCGTTGTCATAGCCACTTGGAAAGTGGTCGGGGCATTCGTAAGGCCAAATGGCATGACCAGCCATTCGAAATGCCCATATCGCGTCTTAAACGCGGTCTTGTAACGGTCCTCCTTGTGAATCTCGAGTTGGTGATATCTCGACTTGAGGTCTAGCTTGGAGAAGAACTTGGCGCCGCCCAGTCGCTCGAGAAGACCGTCGATGCGTGGGAGAGGGTCGACGTTCCTGATCGTCTGCGCGTTGAGCTTGTGATAGTCGATGCACAACCGCAAATCCTTGTTCTTCTTCCGGACGAAGAGAACAGGAGCACCGTATGGCGATGAGCTAGGCTGAATCCAGCCTTTGTCCAGAAGGTCGTCGAGCTGTGCCCGAAGCACACTTAACTCTTCCTCGCTCATTCGGTAGATGCAACCGCGCGAAGGTATGGCCCCGTCCTCGAGGATGATCTCGTGGCGGATGGGCTGATCCGGTACTACTCAGTGCGGGCCTTCGAACACGTCGCTGTAGGCGTCGAGAAGCTCGATGATGCGTGGATCCGAAGGTGAGTCCGTCGATGACGCATCATGGGGTGGGAGGGCGTGGAGAAAACACCCCCCCATCTCCTCGATGTCGTCTCTGATGATGGATGCTTGCATGCTTGCGGCGGATACCACGTGGCAGTTGATCGAATGATGAGGAAGAGGTACCGTGCATGGAACTAATACTCCGTTTCGATCACGAATGTGAACGGTGCGGTGGAAGAAGTTCACCGGGTGATCCTCGCTTCGCAGCCATGACATGCCCAAGATCATGTCGAATTTGGTGTCCAGAATATCGAAGGACACCGCCTCACTTGCGTGAGGGGCAAAGTACACGGGGACGACATCAATGCACCGGTCGATGGACTTGTGCGTATGACCGTCTACCAAAGTGACTTGCGTAGGCTGGGACTTCCTCCGGACACGTGGGCCAAGGCCGACACGTACCATGAAGTCCTGGCTGATGTAGTTGCGAGATGCTCCGCAATCAATCAAGGCGTTGCATCGATGTCGTCGTACCGTTGCGTCTTGAACTCGCGGTCGATCTTCGCAATGTAATCGTGAAGGTTGGCAACCTCTACTCCGGCGTCCATTAACGGAGCTGGTACTGCAGTGTGCAAGTAATCCCGCAGTTGTGCCATGAGCACATTGCAATGCGGTTTCGACAATCGTCCTGTCGGGGGAACGGCCATCCACTGGAAGTCCGTGAACGTCAGTGGGTCGAGCACCTCAAGTCTTGACCATGACGATGAATCCCCGGCGATAGATTGTGGCGAAGCTGCCGAACCGGTTGTCGATGGTGATGAAACCGTGCATGCGGTGGATTGTTGCACGTGGAGCGGTTGGTCCAGCAATGGAACCAAGTGGACAACATAGTCCTCGTAAGTGTAACGAGAACCTGCGACATTCGCATCCTCCCCAGATGTGCAAGAGGCCGCTAGCAAGGCGGCCGAATCTGGCGGAGTAGAAGGTGGAGTCGCCTCACCTTCCGCGAAACTCAGTTTCCCGAGTTGAGGCAGGGTCGCACATCCTCCTTGCCCTGATCCTGGCACAGGGAGGTCTTGTGCTTGGTGCTGTTGCACCAATAGCAGCTGCCGTAGCGGCCGCGGACCTTGTACTTCGCCTCGGTCAAGCTGAACTTGACCCATGGAGGCTGTCCATTTCCGGCCTGTGATGCTGGTTTCGCCTTCCCATTATTGCGGGACTTGTTGTTGCTTCGCGGCTGGACAGCAGCCACCTGATCTCCGTCACCTGATGCTGGAGTGGCTACTGGGTTATCTCCACTGTCCGACTGGACTGCAGCGAAATGCTGTGGTCGCGGACAGTTCATACCTTCTCCACATAGGTCGGCTGCCATGTTGACTTCTCGTGTGCAGCTGACATGTTGGTCTTGGTGATCTCCCTCGCTTTGTCAATGATCTCAACGAAGGTTGAGTACTGCTCGCAATCACCAAGAGCCTGGCTCAATGCAGCACAGGACCTGTTGTAAAACTCAAGGCGCAGATGCGTGAATGGCAAGTCCAGATTGGGCTCTGCCGCAATCTTCTGCCATTCCGTGAGCCAGTCCCGTGTTGCGGTGTTGCCCTGTGACATGGTGAAAAAACGATTGATAGCGAGTGCCGGCGCGTCGTCGACGATGAACCGTTTCTTCCACAGCCGTGTCAATTCCTCCCATGTGATTTTGTCCTTCAAGTCTGGTACGTCGACGCCGTAAGAGGTTGCCAAGTGGGTCAACCAGATCTGGCATCCGCCCTTTGAGTTCATGAACAGGGCGCCGATGTACGCATGCTTAGCGACAAGCAGAATCCGAAGTTGCGTCGTGAATGCTTCCCACCAGAGGACCGGATCCTGCTGTGTGTAGCCGTCGAACTTCTACAGTTGAAACGTTGGCATTTTGTACAACTTAGGGTTGCCATCCGTGTTCGTCGACTGCAGCTGCTGGAACTCGGTCTTCAAGGTATGGAGCTGACTGCTGATGGTGGTCGGCGCAGTGAAGGTGCTGATGTCGCCGAGCATTGCCACTATGTGGTCAACGCGTTCCTAGAGTTGGCGGCTAGAGGATGCACTGCTGGAAGCCCCAGCATCTGGTCTTGGCGGAACTTGTTCCAAGTCCTGTACACGGGCGTCCAGTGCCCGTGTGGCATCCTCGTGCTGAGTCTTATGGTTCCGCACGGCCCGCTGGAGGTTCGCCAACTCGGACTGTAGGTGGTTACAAGTGTAAACAAGCCTGGTCACGAGCTTGGCCATGAACTCCTTATGCTGCTCTTCCGGTGTTGCCTCGTCGCCGTTCGGTTCAAAGTGCCAGTACTTGAGTCTCTCGATGATGTTGGCTTCATGCCGCAGCAGCAGATCCTGGGCTTCCTTGCGGCGAGCCTGGGCATCTGCGTCTGCTTCGGCCTGTAGCTGCAGCTTCTCTGCTGTTGCCGCTTCTTCAGCCTGTAGCTGGGCAGCCTTGACTGCCAGCTGGCGTTGTTCCTCAGCCTCAATTGCAGCGAGCTGAGCCTGGAAACGCTTTTTGTAGTCGGCAATGGGCTGATTGGCCAGTTGGCCTGGCATGCCCGTCATGTTGCTGACGTGGCTCTGCTGACGTGGCACTGTGTCTGACGTGGCACTGCTGACGTGTCACTGTAGCTGACGTGTCACTGTGTCTGACGTGGCACTGCTGACGTGTCACTGTAGCTGACTTGTCACTGTTTCTGACGTGGCACTGCTGACGTGTCACTGTGTCTGGCGTGGCACTGCTGACGTGTCACTGTGTCTGACGTGGCACTGCTGACGCGTCACTGTGTCTGACGTGGCACTGTGTCTGACGTGGCACTGCTGACGTGTCCTGTACCAACCCGGAAATGCATGCAAAGGGGTGGGTGGGAGGGAGAACGCAGGTAGGAACCCTACCCAACAATACTTTCCTCCGCCCTAATCAACAGATAAAAAA